ATACCCCATCTCTCCGGCTTCTTCCTGAAGTGGGGGGGGGGGCACATCATGCCTCCACTCATCAGGGCTTGCAACCTAAATACTGATCTAGTGGTAGATAGGGCACAAGTGTAGAGGCCAGGAGAACCAGATTCTGTGTCATTGATTTGCTATTTGATCTTGGACAAGATGGTAAGGTCCAAAATTTTTCTCTCATCTTGGATGCCAAATTTGGATACTCAAGCATTAGCTAAGCATTTTTTTTTATCTCCAACCATTCCTGTTGGTAGTGAAGTGGGGTTGTGGGGAACATAGCATAGGCTAGTGTTTCTCAACCAATGGTACGAGTACCCTTAGGGCCGTGGTCACCAACCCGTCAATTGCGATTGACTGGTCGATTGGGAGGGCTCAACCAGTGCCCTCCGGCCCCCCCCCCCCAATCCCTCCCATCCCCAAGAAGCCCCACTACCTACCTCCGAAAATGGAGGTAGTACTGGCTTCCCGCGGGGTGGGGGGAAGTCCAGCAGCTGAGCGCCACTTCCGGGGTTTCCAGAAGTGCGCTGCCTGCTCCCCTCCTCCAGGTCTGTGGCGCACTGGGAGGAGGTAGGAGTCCCGGAGGAAGGCGCGTGCTGGGGATTGGGGGGGAGGTGCACGGGGAGTGGAGGTGCGCACTCGGGCTCCCCTTCTCTGCTGGGGAGGGGGAGAGGAGTCCCGGGGGGAAGTGCACACTGGGGTTTTCCTCCTTTGCAGGGGAGGGAGGCTCTTGCCAGAGCTTCCCTCCTCTGGGGGAAGGAGGGGAAAGGCGTGTGTCAAGGATTCCCTGCCCCAGCCGACACGCTGCCCCCTGTTCCCACTGGAGCTTCCCTCCTCCAGGGAGTGGGGGGCAAGACATGTTCTGAGGATTTCCCTGCCCCCCCTTCCCACTGGCACCCTGTCCCTTGCCTCCACTGATACCCTGTCCTCTGCCCCAGGCCCTTGCCCCGGAACCCACTGGCCCCCTGTCCCTTGCCCCAGCCCCCTGTCACTTGCCCCAGCATCCATTGGCACTCTGTCCCCTGCCCTGGCACCCAGTCTCCTGCCCCAGCACCTACAAGCACCCTGTCCTCTGCCCCAGAACCCATTGGCACCCTACCCAGCACCCCATCCCTTGTCCCGGTACGCCCTGGCACCCTTCCCCAATACCATGTGCTCTGCTCCAACCAGCACAGTTGGGGCCACATTAGTGAGGCTTGTGGGGGGCTTTGGAGGAGTTTTTATTTTGCATCTCTCTTGTATGGCCCCAACTGACTTTTCTGTGGGTCTGTGACCCCTGACTCAAAACAGGTTCCCTGCCCTTCTCAGAAATAAAGACACTATGTCAAACACAAAGTTTCTGCATTATTTTATTTAAAAATGAAGCTGGGCCAACAAACCCCCATCTGCCCACAGCATTATAACACTCCTGCATTCCCCCTTCTCCCAGACCCTCAAGCTGAATCTATCAAACATTGGAACCTCCTGCCCTGAGCCCCTCACATACCCCAACTCAAATTCCTGCACCCTCATATCCACAAGCCTGTGGCTTACTTAGTACCCCAACCCTATATCTGACCCCAACAGTGGCCCGCCTGAAGCCCCCTCCCCGACCCAGCATCCCCTTCTCCACCTCCTGCATCCAGGTTTCTTCCCAGAGCTTGCATCTCTCATACCCAAATCCCTCATTCCCACCCCAGAGCCTACACATCCTGCTTCAACCCAGTGAGGGTAAGGCTAGACTGTAGGAGTTTTTCAGGATTCTGGAGATATCCCAGGAAAAACTCTTCTGCATCCAGGTATGCGCTGCTTGTTCTTCTTTTTTTAATGGAAGAGCAAACATGCTCTTTTGGTAACCCCTATATTCCTCTTTCCACGAGGAATAAAGGGGCTTCCAAAAGAAGGATTTTTTCTGACATTTGGTCCAGTCTAGACAGGACCAATGTTGGAAAAACCTCTTACTACAGAAAAATTGTGGAAAAAAAGCAGCAGTATAAGGGTTGGGGATAGCAAGTGATGGAGAGGAGGAGAATAGAGAGGAAGGGGCAGGGCGGTAGATCTTGGCTTGTTCTGTCATTTAAAAAGTGATCTTGGTCATAAAAAGGTTGGAGACCACTGCCTATGGGGTACTCAAGAGAAGTCTGGTGGGTTGTACATCAACATTACTGTAACTTGGAGAAAACTGAATTTTTGTTTTAAGTTTTACAGCGCTTTATTATTTTTGTGCTTTTTACACCTAAAAATTTCATCGCCCGGCTACAATTAAGTCATTTAAACAAATGTTGCAATAGTAGAAAAAAAATTGTGTGTCTGAAAACTGTAGATACTGGGGGTACTTACAATTTTATTTTTATTTTTTTTGAAAAAGGGGTACTTTAAAAAAAAAAGTTGAGAAACACTGGCATAGGCCAACTGCCAGTATTTTTTTCTACTGTCAACCAGTGATAGAGAGCAATAGTGAGAGACTTGATCAAAAAGTTTTAATGTAGACAAGGTTTTGGGATCTGCAGTTGTATCTCTTCATGCTTCAAGGGAATCACTTTGACACATTTGCATACAGTTTTATGCACTATGGTGTGTGTCCTTGTTTTGGTGATTTTTTGCCAGGAATGGACTATGCTTCCTTTAGTTGCAAGTGATGTAATAGTTCCTTAATTTACTGTTTCTTGTTCAGGTTGTCCAGTTCAGATTGAACGCCGTAATTTAGATGGCCATTTGACAGTGTGTGAATACAGGAGCCGTGAATGCCCTAATGGTTGTGGTTACACCATTCTCAGGGTAGAAGATGCACAGCATAATTGTGTAGCAGAGCTAAGAACAGAACTAGAACTGCTCCGGTAAAATACTACTTCTGTTCTATGGGTCTTTGTGTTTACCTGGGCCTAAAATCACTGCACATAACAGAGTGCTCCAAGTACTAGCTCTGTTTATTTCTGATATCTAACCTATAATCTGTAAATTAATTGGTATTAACTGGTGAGGATATTTTTGAAAAGCCATTACACACTTTAAACTCTTACTGCACTTTTTAGTCTGAGTTAATGTTATTAGCCCAGAACCGTAATGAATAGGAATTGCAATTATCCAAAATTATATGATAGTTGCATTAAAGAGTGAAATACATATGAAGAACAAGACTGAATCCATTAAACTTTTTACCTTAGTGTGTTACAGATCCAGAGCCAAATTATTAAATATGATTTATTATTTAAGATTTTTAAAACACTTTGGAGATAAACTGATTATATTTCACAAAGTTATCAGAGATGAGAGGCTGGTGACTTATGAGTTCAAGCTTGTACTTATGTCTAAAATGCTGGAAAACTCAGTACTTATCAGTGTATGTCTTTACCTTCTGAGTCCCTCTCTTTCTTCTTGCCTTTCTTCCTCTTTCAGTTTATCATTTCCATGATCTTCCAGCGGTTTTATACCTCTTCCCACCCCTTCCTGCTGGTACCTTCTCTCTTGCTTCTTTGGTCAGTGAAGGCCCTAGCTCTCCTGCACTTTGCTGGTGACCCAGGTTCAGTTCCTGGTAAGTGCAGTGAGAAATAAGAGCTTTCTTGATATCAATAAAATGCCAAACTGCTGCTCAAATCTCAAAAGGTTAACCTGTTAATGTTTTAGTTTTGGCTATGACAATGTTTAATAAATGATTAGTTTTCTTCTCCCACAACTACTGTCCTTTAATATTCATGATAAACTGACGAGCATTGATCCAAATGCTGCTGGTTGGTATGTTATGCTGCGCTTAACCTTTAGCTCTCTGTATTATGTCCTTATTTCAGATATCTGTTCTCCTTAAGTGGAATGACACAGACTGAGAGGCACATTCATATTTATTTATTTTGAGACATGTATTACATTTCCCCTGAACTGCTGCACAAAGTTGTCATATAATCTTAAAATATAATTATTCAAAATGAGCATTATTTGGATGAAAAGAAATAAACTATCCAAAGCCAAAAAAGTTAGTCTATAGCTTCTGGAATGATTGCAGAAACATGTATCTTAGAGTTCTGTATCGCTGCCCATTGCCATAGCATTTGCACACTGAGTATCTCTGTTGATGCCAGGAAAAGAACTTGCCCATTCAAGACGTTAAAACTTATGAGTTTACATAATGCCGCTGGTTGATAAAACATGCTAAATAGCACAAACTTTTTTTAATTTTGAACATTTTAAATTTTTACATAGAATTAAATAAAATTTATAAAAAGAGTTTAAATGTTTCTGGTTTTCTGTTGAAACCTAGAATGAAACAGATTCTGGGGGGGAAGGATTTGCTTTTAAGGTTTTGTTTTGTTTTTTCATTAGTGAAACAACTCAATGATATCCGCACAAATTTGCAAAATGTTTTGGTGTTGCTGACTTCATTTTTTCTCCTGAGGGGAAAAAGTTTTGATTGAAAAATTTCCTCGGTTATATTCAGGAATGATGTAGCTATTTGGTAGCAGTATTTCACTCTGGCACTTGAAAGTCACTGGTATAATGGCTAGATTTAAAAAGGAAAAATTACCCTTTTTTAGGTCAGAAATGATCTGCAGAGTGGAGGAGGCAAAGCATGAAATGGAGTCCAGATTAGATTCACAGAGAAGGCATATGGTGCAAAAAGAGAGTCTTCTGCAAAATGAAATTGAAGAACTCAAGGTAAATAAGTTTCTGTATCATTTTTGTTTTGTTTTGTTCTCCTTTCCCAACAGTCTAGCTTTTTTGCTTTTTTCAAGTAGGGGGAAGTTTCACATTATTGCGGTATTGTGATCCTGGTAAAATTCCCTTGCTGAACACTCACCAGATTACTGTTTTGGACCCACGTGCTGGGGCTGTGCGCTCTTAAGCTTTCCAGGATCTTGGTAGGCTTAGGCACAGTCTCTTTCTTGACCTTTTTAGCACCAATTTTCTGCGAGCTACTCTTTTGAAGAATTGGAATGTAGGGGTCCAGGTACCTAGGCCCTAACAATCGTGTTGACCCCAAGATATCTCAGTATATTAAGCACATCCTTAGGCCACAGTCCCACTGTGTGAGCACTATGACAAACAGTTCAGCTCTTCAGGAACATGTGATAACTGAATGACTCACAGATTAGTGCAGTTCTTACCTGATAATTTTTTTTCTGCTAGTAGCATCTCTCACAATTATAATACATGTTGGCTAATTGCCTCATGTCAGCAGTTTGTGAAGGCAGTTCACAGCTGCAGCACCACCTCTGCTACCAATGCCCCCTTATCCAGGTTGATGCCAGATGATTAGTTCCAAAGTTGTGTAAAACCTCAAAATATTATTAGTAACAGTAACTTCATTAGTTGACAATAAGTGGGCTACAACCTATCAACTTAACTATCAAAATGAAATACTGTTTTCTGGCTAAGAAGCCAGCTAGGGAGAGTAGAATTATGGGAGATGCTGCTAGTAGAAAGGAAATGAATGGGTAAGAAATTTACCATTCCATAGCTCAGTGTCTCCCACAATTCTGATATGTATGGAAATTAATGAGCAATGGAGAGAAATACAGGATAAGAAATACAGGAAGTGTACACACACCCCTAGAGTGGCAATATTGCCCCTGACCCAACATCTGTACTACCTTCCTGTCAAAGAAGAGCTCCTCAGAGAACAAAGTCAATGTATATTGTCTACCATTGAAGCTAAGGTCTCCATCCAAAAATCTCACTTTGTTCAACCATTTATTGAGCCATCTGAGATCTAGGATAGCTCTGGTTGCCAAGCCTCCTGGAATTAGAACGGATTTCCCAGTGGCTACTCAAACCAATCCAGGGCTGTGTCTACACTGGCACGCTCTTGCGCAAAAACTTGCTGCCTGTCTACACTGGCCGCGTGTTCTTGCGCAAGTAAACTGACGTTCTAATGTATGAAATCAGGGCTTCTTGCGCCAGAACTCTGATGCTCCCGCTCAGGAATAAACCCTTTTGCGCAATTGTGCTTGCGTAAGAGGCCAGTGTAGACAGGCAACATGAATTTCTTATGCAAGAAAGCCCTATGGTTAAAACGGCCATCAGAGCTTTATTTCGCAAGAGTGTGTCTACACTGGCATGGATGCTCTTGCGCAAAAGCATATCTCTTGCTGAAAGCACATGCCAGTGTAGACACTCTCTTCTGGAAGAGCTTTTGCACAAGAACTCTTCCGCAAGAGTTTTTGCGTGAGAATGCGCCAGTGTAGACATAGCCCAGGAGATTAATAGACCTCAAAGTCTGGTCATTAGCACAGCAGGGCTAAGGCAGTCTCTACCTGCTGTGGCTCTGTACCTCTCGTGGAGGCAGCCAGCATGTCTAGTTTATAGGCCATCGGGAGGTTGGGGGTCTCCCTGTGCTGCCCCTACCTTCAGCATGGATTCTGAAGCTCCCATAGTGAGGAGGAGCTGTGAGGCTGGTGCCTGCAGACAGGGGCAGTGCCCAAAGCCGTCTGGCCACCCCCAGAGCCTAGGAGCTTGACATTCTGGATGCTTCCGGGAGCTGCTTGAGGTAAGCATGTCCAGCTGGAGCCCACACCCTTCATCTCACTCCCCCACCCCAGCCTGGAGCCCCCTCTTGCACCCAAACTTCTTCCCAGAGCCCACCTCCTGCACCCCAACCTGCTGCCCCTGGCTCAGCCCAGACCCCAACCCCCTGGTTCAGCCTGATAAAAGTGAAGGTGGAGGACAGCAATCGATGGGGGTGGGATGAAAAGAGTGGAGGTAGGCCTCAGAGAATGGGTGCGGTAGAAGTTTCTAGGTTTGTGCAGTAAGACAGTTAGCAATCCCAAGGACAGTGCTGAGTCCCCATCAACAGTGAAGAAAATTAAGTTTAGTCTTAATAGTTTTCTGAGGGAATCCTTTCTATTGCTGTTGTGTCCAGGAGTTAAATAATAAGCTGTCAAGAAAAGTTGGGAGCAAAGTGGAACCATCATTTGACTGCTGCTGCAGAGGCAGAAAATCTGTCAGCAGGCTGGAGAAGGAGCTTTGGCTAAACATGCATTATGTATCAGCTTTGAAAACTTAGGCAGAAGGAGAATAGCCCAAACATTGCAGAATTACAAAGGTCCCACAAGCAGTCACTGTTTACTTTATCGGAAATACACAGAGCTAAGCAAAATAGTAAAATACCTGTCCACATTTCCCCTTTCTTAGGGTACGTCTAGACTACATGGCTCTGTCGCCAGAGCCGTGTAGCTTATTTAAATCGCCGCTTCATTTGGGTATTTCTAGTAAACCTAATCATCGCTTCATTTAAATTAAAATGGCTGCCGTGCTGTGCCAATCGGCTGTTTGGTGGCACAGCACTGTAGTCTGGATGCTCCACGGTCGCCATCAAAGGCATTTGTTGACCTCCCCGATATGCCTCGTGGGATGAGGTTTACTGGGGAGGTCGACAAATGCCTTTGATGTCTACCACGGAGCATCCAGACTACAGCGCTGTGCTGCCAAACAGCTGATCAGCACAGCGCGGCAGCCATTTTAATTTAAATGAAGCAGCGATTAGTTAAATCACCGCTTCATTTGGATATGTCTAGTAAACTAATCTACATGGCTCTGGTGACAGAGCCATGTAGTCTAGACATATCCTTACATTCTTCACCACTTGAGCATTCGTTACGCTTAGCTCCAAAGCCTTTTTGGTGTCCAGCATCCTTCCTCTACCACACATAGTTTCTTGGCTCGATCATGGAGTTTGTCTGAGACGCAGATTGCTGCAGCAGTGCCCTTTCTCTTTTTCAGTTGCTGGTGATACACCTCCTCTCTATTGACCTCCAGTCTCCTTTGTTAGGTGATCAGCCCCTTTCTTCCCACCCCAGATCTGTTGCCAAATTACCGTACCCCTGGAATTCCTGCTTGGCTTGCCCAGGGTAGCTGAGCAGTCATCTCTGTCAGAATTAAACAAGCCTCCATTGTTAGCTCTGTGAAAGTTGCAAGAATGTTCTGTGGGTTTTAGCTCAGTATGGAGGCAAAAGACAACAGAGAAGGCAAGCAAGCCCTACATTCCAAATGAAGTTTGCAGTTTGACATAGGTGTGCAGAGTCTTCCCAGTATCAAACAGGATTCATAAGCTTAAATACAAGGCACATCATGCAAGTCCGATATAATCAAAATTCCAGCTCCTCTGCTCGTACTATTTTAAAGTAACTCAGTGGGAAAGGAAACCTAGGAATCTGTGCTCTGATGTGCAAGCAGTGGTGCCTCATGTGAAAGTAAGGGTCTCTTACCCACATGGATCCAGTTGCTAGATTTAGGGTCTCGTACTCATTAGAAACCAGTTTAACTAGAACTCTATTCAAACTTAGTTCAAAACCCGCTGTAGATAAGGCCAAAGTAAAAAAGCAGCGAGGAGAGAATATATCATCTAACCCATTCATCCAGCTTTTATACTGTAACACACACAAAAACACTCAAAACCTAAGTCAGTTGAACCTTTATGTTTTAAGGTTGCAGATTATTTCATCTGTTCTTGTTCTTCATTGTCTCTTCTTGTACATGCAGTAGCCATTTCAGTTTCCATACTGCCATTACTGGAAATGTTTGTATGATTTTATTTTAGTCTGTTTTTACACATGCTTTTTAGAGTCAGATGTCACGAATGATGTCCGATGTGCGCTCCCTGATGGCTGCAGAGAGACAGCATCGCCAAGAGCTGGAGCAAGCAGATCTTGAAAAGCGTGAATTAATGGAGTTGCTGAAAGGCCTACAGAAAGACTGCCGATTAAATAATACAGAGGGAAACAAGAAATCAGCCAACTTTCGTCCTCTCACACGACTGGAAAGTGTGAAACGAAAACCCAGGGAAGTCACAGTCATCTAAAGAGAGTAAGCTCAAAGAGGATTGTGCTTCCTGTGACCAGCTAATAAATATCCTATCAGTTCTAACTGACCTCTTCTTTTTATCTAAATTCTGAATGGGTCAGAAAGCGGGGGGGAGAGAGAAGGGAGAAATCACACAGGTTTGTATCTAGTAGTGATGTTAGATATCCATTAATTGAATAATCATGTAACTGCATCAAAACGATTATTTGATAGTCCCCTGTATCACAGGCAACAGCTCAGGATGGCAGCAGCTGCTGTCCATAGGGGACCCAAGCTCCCTGCAGAAAGAGGCTGCACTGGCAACCCTGGAGCAGCCTTTGTCTGTGGCAAGCCTGGGCCTACTGCTGATAGAGGCTGCTCTGTGGCAACTTCCCCTGCTCCTTCCCCACCCCACGCTTCCCACTGCAGCTCTGCCTCCCCAACCTCCCTCCATCCCACACCGTGGAGACAGTGCTGGGGGTAACCAGCTTTTAAGATGGCTCCCCCCCCCAGCGACGGCTCCTGCTTCCTCCCCCACCTTGCTGCCTCTGACACACAGGCAGCAAGGGGGGGGGAAGGGGGAAGTGTGTGTAGTTGATAAGCTTTGGCTTATCAGTTAATCCTATCAGTTAACTACATGTTAATATCCCTAGTATCTAACACACTTTGCTGCATACTATACAAATAGTAAAACTGTTTTTTAGCCATGTGGGGGAAATTGTAGGCCCAGGATTAGTTTTTAAAAGCCTATTAATAGTATATGGAGCATTACAATATACAGTTAAAAGGACATTTTCAACTAGTATTTTCATAAGCTATGAGCTCAATCTATAGTCTCTCAGTTGTTTACAGTAGCTTCCTAACACACCTGGAAACTAGAACTTCAACTAGGTTACATGGAATTTTTTGCCAGGGCCACCAAGTTTGGTATGCAGGTTTCTCTTAACATAACTTAAAGCCAGATCAGGGTTCGGTTGTGCCAGGAAAATGGGATGTTCCTGGAATTTGACACTTTTCCATAACATGGACGGGGAGGGGAAGGAGAGAGAGGAGGGACACAATACTCATGCACCAAAGGAATGAGTAGGAATGCCCTTGGTAGGAATGCTGTCCCTGGCCTCTGTTTGTCAGAGGCTAGAGACGGATGGCAGGAGACAATTTGCTTGATCATTGTCTTCGGTCCACCCCCTCTTGGGCACCTGGTGCTGGCCACTGTTGGCAGACAGGATACTGGGCTAGATGGACCTTTGGTCTGACCCAGTACAGCCATTATGTTCAACAAGCACAGGGAAGAGTTATCCTGCAGAGTGACCCCTTGGGACTGCTGTACCACCACCAGAGTGGCCAGCTGGGGATGGGGCTCTGCCATTGTGCCTGCATTGGTAAGTGGCCTCCCTGGCTAACCAACCCTGCGCTCTTCTCTTCCCCTTTCCCCTCCACACAAACACGGGGAGCACCACCACAGCCAGCCCAGCCCAAGCTGCCCCCCACAGGACCCACAAGTGTGGTACCACCCTTCATCTCCACTTCCAGGATGAGTGCGCACCGATAGGGAGGCCTGTGCTGCCCCCCTCATCCCCAACCCCGAGAATGCTGAGGGGAGGCTTACACAGACTCCTCCTTCGGCTTGGGGGGAGGGTGCTAGAGGCAGAGGCCTGCGTAGCCCTAGACAGAACCCTCTCCTCCAACCCTAAACCCTGGGCTGGAGCTCCCCCCCACCTTAAGCCAGCTCAGCAGGCTAGCAGGAGGCCTGCACCCTCCTCCCCCTCCCCAGACCTAAGCAGAGCTGGTTAACATCTGCTAGTAATGAATAATGGCAACTGGAGTGTATTCTAAGAAGTATTGATTTATTAATTTTAGGAATATTTAAGTACTTCAGCCAGCCAGCAGAGGAAACTAACAGATTTGAAAGTATTTGAATCCTACATAAACACTGTACAATCACAAAGGAACGGTGGCTTAAATATAGATTTCAGACTGTGGCCACCAACATAAAATAGCTTTAAAGTAGGTCACTTTGGACATGAGTATTTAGCTGTTTTCCTTTAATCTCCTAGCTTGCTAGTGTAGAATTTAAGCAGTGCATTTCAACTCACTGCCAAGCTGTCTAGAATTCTCCTCCTCCTGTTTCCATCCTGAAGGACCCTATGAAAGATTTCTTGTGTGTTGAAAACTTGCAGGCATGTCTATTGACCAGGATTGCTTAAATACAGTTACTGCCCTTTCTTACACCTCCAGTGCTTTTGTAATATCTGTAGTATATAGTGAAGATTAGTACATATTCAGAGTGTGGCTTGTCATCACAGTCTGGGTGAATTGCGCATACATTTCATTGGTGTGGGCAATGTATTGGCTGTTTTTACAAGGATCTCAAAAGTTTAATGTCTAGCTATAGAAATATGTCTTTTAAAAACATACTATAAACACCTGTTGAACATCTTCAATTTTCTTTTGACAGGTCTAAAGCTACTTGAATGTTGCATTACCCACAACAGACCTCCATTTTTTTTACAAAGGAAATATGGTCGGGTGGACTTCTGTGTTGATACTAACGTCTGAAACTATACAATGGCAATAATAGACCCATGGATTTTGAATCATGGGGTTTCTTTCATTTGAGGAGTGCAGGACATGATAGAAATTTGGAGAGATCAGCTATGGCAATCAGACTGAGTGAAACCCACTAGCCTAATATCTGAACTGTATGTATGATGAGAGAGCCCCATGATGTTACAACAGTTTATGCAAGTGTCCATGCTAGTTTGGTTATTTTTTCCTACTGAATTTAGTACTAACATATTGAAAGAAACAAGTAGAATGTTAGTGAGTGCAGTAAGTCTGTCTTGGAAGAATTGGCACTTAACTAATAAGACTTGAGGATACCACTAATCTAATTTTATTAATTTAATGTATTCTAGTTTTACTTTTTCAAACTAAGCCAATAACTTGAAAATATGTGCTGACTCAATTTAAGACACAGCCCTCACTGGCTCTTGTACCATCAATGCCCATCTAGCCCCAAATCCGGCCCCCAGCCCCCCTGCCTCTCCCCTGCCCTCAGGCCAATCGGGGGGGATGGGGCTGGGGGGGGGAGAGAAGCACACAAAGTCTCCCACTCTGCCCCCACCCTGCAAGAGTTGCATGGCACTTAAGAGTGAGCACCCAGCTGAACGGGACCTGGGGGCAGGGGAGCAGGAAAGTGTCCTGTGCCCATCCCTTCCACCCATAATCCAGGGCCACTTCAAATATTTGTGAAGTGGCCCCCTTCTAAAATTACTGCCCACTCCTGCCATACACATTGGCAGCTCTTTTTTCATAACATACTTTTATTATGGAAAAACTAATGAGCCTGACTAAATTATTTTTGCTGCATGTTACTGCTTTCTTTATTGAAATAAAATGGTAGAATACTCAGTGTGTGCCTGTTGAGTTCAATAGGACTTTCAGGAGAACACTTCATAATTGCAGTGTATCAGTGTTTATTGGTAATCTTCCCAATTAAGCACACAAGTAATTTGTTAGGCTGATACTAATAAGCTAATTTTTCATTTCAATCATTATTTTTCATGTATGTTATCAGATTGTTAGCCTACCATCACAATTGCATGGCAGATTTTTTTTCCTTAGTAGCAAACGAATTATGTAGCCAGGTAATATATAATTACTGCAGACATTTTAGTTGCAAAATTATTGTATTTTTTACATCTTAAACATTGTTAGGTGCTTTAAGGTGGGGGGGGATTAAGTGAACCTCAAACACTGAACAAGTTCTAAATGACATTAAAATAAGAAGCCTTGTAAAATTTGCTACACTCTTCCTCTCAATTTTTGATAGTGCTTCTCTATAGCTTATTTCTTGAGGGGTCTTAAATAACTTACATAGAATGGTGCTAGCATTTTCCTTTCTTGTGAACATCTTTTGGATAGAACCAGTTTAGCCTTGATATATAGGGGAAACTTATGTAGTTTTCTCACATTTAATGTTGCCTTTGTAAATAACTAAGTCTATGCAACTTTCATATTAATAAATGTCCTACTGTAGCATTCATTGCCAAGCTAAACTGAAATTTGATTTTTTTAAATAAGAGGAAATAGTCTCAGAAGTGGCATTTTGTGGCTAAATGTCAAGTGTGTGAAAGAAAACTAACACTTGTAACCATTTGAATTGCAGTTTGTACACAAGTTGATTAAAGTAAATTCATATAAGCAGTTATTCATTTTGCTTTTTTTCCTATTATGAAAATCAAGTATCTTCCTTGCCCAATGAAATAAGCATACATGCAAATAAGCTTGCTTTCATTATTCTCTCTGTACTTTATGCAACAAGCAGAAAAATGAAGGTCTAAAGTACTATCCTGGGGACAGGTATTCTCTTAAAAGGGGCATAAGGAAGAGGGAGTCAGGGTTAAAAGGCCTTTGTCTGACCAGTGACTGGGATATATTCAGTAGTAGACAGGACTAGCATTTCAACAAAACAGCATCCTCCTCAAAGACTTTGCATGTCTTCACTGATGGTGTGTGTGCGTGTGTGTGTGTGTGTGTGTGTGTGTACAAGCACATGCTGAAGGAAAGATGACAGAGTCCTTCAATGTTGCAGGTGCCTTAAGTGCAGTAGGAAGCATATTTAGGTCCTGCTTAGCCTGTATTCATTCAGGATAAACTGAACTTCTTGTCCACTACTTAAAAGGTTTTCATCATAAAATGTAGTGCAGTAATGGCCAATGACCCCTTCTGTTGAGGATAGGCTTTTATTCTAGAAACTACAAAAACAGGAGAACCTTGTGTACTCTACAGTTAACTTTAGAGACTCTTCTGCTTGGGCATCAACACTGTCTATGATTTGGCTTTTCTGGGAAGCATTTCGGGGCAGGTAGCAATCTTAATTTGCCATTTGATTTACCACTCTGAGTATAGTGTGTTAGAAACTCAGTGGAAAAAAATTCAACTTGACTGACCATCACTTCAGTGAAAATGGAAATTAACTGGATCATAAAGCAGAGATTATTAGCGATCATTCTACATTAGGTACTGGCCACTAAGTTTAACTAGGGCCACTGTAGTAGAAAGAGGAAAATCTGTTGCACACTGCTCCTTTACAGTAAACTTAACAGTTAAGCACACAATACTTGAAGATTACATGCACACACATACTGGTCTGGAAAACTGGGAGTTTTAAGAAGGGACATGCCAACTGTGCAAAAATTTGTCAGGAAAGATCCAAACCACCTTAAGGGAGTCTCATTATCACAGCTATCCGATACAAAAGACCCAGGTCTTGAAGACTCTAATTTGATCATGGACGTTGCTTTGGTACAGAATGGAATGTTTTAGGGATGTAAGTGACTAGTTTACTACCCGATACTGGGTAGTCGAGTAGTGACTCAAATAGTCCCGTCCCCCCCCGCTCCTCAGAGGCAGCAAAGGGCGGGCAGAGAGCCAGCTTAAAAGCTGGTTCCCCCCAGCACCCTCTCTGCAGGGGCTCGGGCAAAGGCCCAGACACTGTGCCTCTGCTTTTTAAATGTATTAAAATCTGCCAGGCTCTTAATAAATTTAAAAAGTAGAGATGCAGCTTCTGGGACTAGGCATGAGCCGGGATCTTAATAAATTTAAAAAGTAGAGATGCAGCTTCTGGGACCAGGCATGAGCCAGGACAGCTGACTCCCGACTTGCACCCAGTCCCTTCTTCCCCTCCCCTGCTGCAAGCTGACTCCCGACTTGCGCCCAGTCCCTTCTTCCCCTTCCCCGCTGCGGTTCTACAGTTTCCCTTCTTATCGACTAATCACCCGATTAAAGATTAGCCGATTAAATGCAATTTAACATCGCTAGAATGTTTGTGATGTATCTTAACTTGGGCAAATGTGGATAGTAGTGCTCTGTTTTTACTGTCTCCTTTCCCTTCATTTGCTTTCTTGAACCCTGTTTTTGTGTATTTTTCCTCAGAAGGAAACCAAGCTTGTGACCTAGGAACTTTACATATAGCCCTGAAGTTAATACTAGCTGGGGTCCAAAATGACACACTAGTACTCCTGAACTTAATCCCACCCAGCCCTGCAATCACTCACGGACAGATGAGATTAGTCCTATTTTGCTCAGTGGAATTTTCCTTTGCAAGTATTTTCAGGACTTAAGCATTGTCATAACCACCTTACAAGACTGTTGCTGAACTGAGTGAACATGGAAAAGCAAAGCAGGCCTACCTGTCCTGTTGATCCTTGGACAACTGCTTACACAGGACTGATCAGGAGAGGAGTAAAGGAACCAGATTGTTACTGAAAGATATTTTAGTTATAAAATTCAGCAGAACAATGAAAGCCACTATAGCTATATGGCAGAAGTATATTCAGACTGCTGAAAATAACTTTCACTTCAGCTCCTAACAGATACAAGCAGCAATTAAACAGCTCTGGAACATTGAATATTCAAAGCATTTATGTAAACAAAGATGACGTTGTTTTGGTCTATAGATTTCCATTAGGGAAAAAACACAAGTATACTAGCTGCTGTAACACTGCCTCATTTCTCCTTATTAGAAGTCAATGGGCCTGCTTACAAAGAAAACTGCTGTTCAACACTTACCTGCTCATTTGGCATTAGCCACTTCCAGCATTCTAGTCAGACAACAAAAGTTCCAAGTTAAATGGAAAAGTGGAATTTAATGTTAAACCTGAGTTGCTTAGGGTAAAATTCAATTTAAGTACATCAAATCAAGTCAAATCCAGTATTTACAGCATTATTTCAAGTTAATTTGACCTTGAGAACCCACAAATACTAAATAAGTCCTATGTAACTACAAGTTCTAAAATTACATTTAAAGAAACCGTAGACATACCACTTAGTTTTCAAGTTTGACTAATGATTTACTGAGATTTTGTTTGTCTTGATCAATTTTAGCAGTCTTTTATTTTTCAGTTGGAAAATGACAAGCATCACATGCTGTATTTCAAACTTTCAAGAACCAATATTTACAAGTTGTTCCATAATTGAAGCTTTTTCTTTTCATTCCAGATCTCCAGCCTGAAAACAAATCACTCACATCCTTACTGCAGTTTCATAAGTTGTAAAGTGTCTAAAAATACTTTAAAAAAAAAACCTCAAACACATGGTTTAAAAGAGCCTGTCTGCTTTACAAAATATTTATGCAATGTTCCTCAATTTAAAAAAATAGCATTAATACCTGTTTACTAGAACATCACCCGTTTTAGTAATTACAGTTGCATTAGTAAAATTCCATCTTCCATGACTGGCTTCAGTATCCTGCTTTTTTCACATTTCAGATTCTTCTACTATTCGTTTTTCTAGCATCTGCTACTTTATACAATATTCAAATATATAGCTACGTGAAACAGTTATTCCCTTTAGCCATGCCCAGTTAATTAGAACAAGTTTATCCAATAGATCATATAAATTCACTGCCTGTGCAAACTAGTAGACTTGGGCCTATGACGTCCATGTTTGTGCACACAAGGCCTCTTCCCACAATTGCTTTCTCTATGGTTTCAGCTAAAACTGTTGATTGCTATTAGACAACAGGGCTAAATAGTGCTTTAAAACATGTTCTTTCTTAGTCTACAGTACACTTTCAAATCTGGTTTTCTGTTTTATATAGGTTCTCATCACCATAGTGCCACAGCCCCTCCCAGTAGTGAATTAAGCACAATGACACACTCAACATGTATGTTTTTTCTCTTTCCTTCCCCAGGAGAAGTGCAGGCAGTGGTTTTGGTAGCTATAGATATATATAAAAATACTCATCCACATAGTGCTATGTAGGAATGTTAGGAAGCCAATAAGTAGCTAATCGTGAAGTCCAGCGGTGTGCAATCTGTGGGTCACGGCTGTCTTCCTGGGGGGGGGAGTGAAGTCCAGCGGTGTGCAACCTGTGGGTCACAACTGTCTTCCTGAGGGGGGGGGTAGCAGCGCCGGTCCAGGCTGCCATTTTGTTTTCAAGGCTCAGTGCCCAACATTCATGCTGCAGGGGAGCAGACCAGCGCTTTTAATTTAAAGAGGCTGC